TATACCCGCGTGACTTATTAGTACCACCTGAAAAAAATATCATTAGAACAATCAGTAAATTTTTAATGTTGATTATAATGTTGGTAGCATAATGCTACTGTGTATAATATCTTTTACCGAGAATCGACATGCCCATCAAAAATCTATATTCTATATAGGACAATGCAGTTAGACAACCCATTTCTTTAATTTTTTCTGAACCACATTACTTTATTTTGTAGCTATTGAGGAATTTCCTTTAATAAAATAAAATAAAAACTGATCATATTCTGAAGTCGTCAGTGATCATGATCGAAATTAAAACATTGGGTGAACACTAGTAACATAAATGCAACATACTAGCACTGATATAAAGTATATGCGACGATAATAATTATTTAATACAAAAATTCAAGGAGCTGCGTTTTCCTATGCATTGTACAGCGGGCTGCAATAAGGCGTGGAGAGTATGAGAACTAATTAAATTAATTTTTTTTGTTTAATAACGCCTATAGTAGTTACATGTACATTATGATTCCACTAGATGGCGTTTTGCTGCGACAGAATTTTATAATAATATTTTTATTTTATTTTTATTGCTTAGATTGGTGGACGAGCTCACAGCCCACCTGGTGTTAAGTAGTTACTGAAGCCCATACACATCTACAACGTAAATGCGCCACCCACCTTGAGATATAAGTTATAAGGTCTAAGTATAGTTACAACGGCTGCCCCACCCTTTAAGCCGAAACGCATTACTGCTTCACGGCAGAAATAGGCGGGGTGGTGGTACCTACCCGCGCGGACTCACAAGAGGTCCTACCACCAGTAAAAATGTCACAATTAAATGTATACAACAAGCGTTTATTGAGAGTTTAGTTACTCGTAACTTTATCATCAACTTTGACAAAAATCAAACAAGATTGAAATATATATAACAATATGAATTGCTTCAAATATTCTATTATACTGGTCCTACCTCTGCATCATCCATGGCCATCCTAGACGCATAATATGGACAAGCCTTCAATTCTTTTCCACATTTGACCAAGTCTTCCATGTCCATGATTTCAATTAGCATTCTCTCTTTTAGTTTTGTTATATTGTTTTGATTGTAATAAGGGCAGGCAGTACAAGCCCTTAACTTACTCTTTTTGAGAACTCTACCATCGTCACTAGTTGATGTTGATTTACTTTTAGTTTTCTGCATATCTAGACACCTGTAACATTTTAGCATTTTATATAATTCTTTTAACTGCATAGCCAGATGAATGAGCTCACGGCCCGTTCGGTATTAAGTGGCTACCTGAACTCATAGACATCACAATGTGAATGCTGCCACTGATCTTAAAATGTTAATGTTATTGTGCAAGTTACATTTAAATTAGTAACATTTATATTTCTCAATTATTTTATGTACATAGGTTCAAGCAAATTTTAAGCTATTTATAGCTGCATTCATTACCACTATACAAACATAATTAAAAAAATGTACACCCTTCTGAGCATGTTCCGAAAATTACAACTGGATCTTAATATAAAAATCCTTCGATATTTAGTGTTCTTGATTGTGAAATTCAGACTGAATTTCCTTTGTGGTTTTTCTTAGGTGGTTTGTGAAGTATGCCGTTAAATAACAAAATACTATTGAATTCCTTTTGGTTTAATATAAAGTAATATTGTACATAATATTGCGCGTCTTGTAGCTGTTGAGTCCCGTTCAGAAGTGAAGGTGGTTGTGTGTTTTTTAAGCGTTGCGGAGCTCGCTCTTCCGCCGGTTTGCCGCCCACTCCCACGCCGCGCTGCCTGCGTCTTTCCCGATTTTGCGAAAGAGGAGTTGATGCGTAAACATTTAGTTATAGTTAATTATGCCCACCACAATATTGAATACGAAAAATACGGTTATATGTTAATAATGCATATTTTAAACTAACCTTTCGTTTATTAAATTAACATTCTTCAACTTTGCGACTTCAGAATTGATGCAGTAATGTTGTCTCGATGCTAAAGTGACAACTCTAGTGACATCCTTGAAAATGGTTCTCTTTATTTCCCCAATAAACTGCGAGAGCTGGCTATGTGTCCTGCTGCTAATGTATACCTTTAAAACAATTATATTATGACTCTGCAGCAATGCCGTAGGCACAGTCTAGCCACTGTCTACCATTTCTAGCTTTTTCAAAGTTTGTTCTAGAGTTGTATGGTATGTGGGGAAAAATATGCCTTAAATGGCACGAATGAACATAGTAGTTCAACAGTTGTTGCTCTAGATTGCAAATACTTATATTTTTGATTATCTAATAAAATATGTTGCACCAAAGGTAAATTATCTACTTCCACTCCCTAGCTTTTGTCTGTAATTTAATTTCCGGATATACAATATATGTTTAGATCAGTACATAAATTTGATATAAAGAGATAAATTACTAATTTAGTATCCCTGAAGTTAATAACACCAGTTGAACAAATGTGACTATTTCATATTGTATAATTAATTATTTTATTACCTTTATGATTTCATCTTTATTGTCTATTTCTTCCACTTCCTCAGGATAAATATCACTTTCAGCATTTTCTTCAAATTCCTCAAGAATTAAATCTCTATCGCCTTCACTGTCATTCTGTTCTTCTATGTTCTCTTTCTCTAATTCAGGTTCACTGTTTTTTCTCCTATCACTCTTACAATAGTTATCTGTTGACTTAACGTTAACATTTGATTTTTGTTTTGAAACTCGCTTTGCCATATTCTCAAAATTTTCTTTGCATTGTATAATTTTGTCCATTTTATTTTGTAGTGTTATGAGCATTTGGTTTTTCTTTATTTTTTCATATTCTTCTTGCAGCCAATCATTACTATCTGTAATAATTGGAAGTTAATAACTAATTTTACATATTTGCTGTAACCACTTTACACCAAGTGGGCCATGAACTTATTAATACTGAAAATACTAATAAAAAGCATTTCAAAAAGCATCTTATAATAATTTTCGGTTTACTTCCAGTCAACTAATAATTTCAGTATGTAAGTTTTAACCATACCCATAGTTTGTGAAATTTCCAATTTCAGAGCGCCAATTTCAGATTTTAGTTCTTTTAAAATTTTCTTATTGCTATCCTTAAGCCACTGGAGCGCTGCACAACATATGCTAAGTGATTTACCCTATTAAAATAATTAAGTCAGGATTAAATTATTTGAATTTATCTAAATATTATTTGTATGGCATTTATCAAAATTGCTCTAAAGTTTGTTTATTCTTGCAATGCCAAAAAAGATTCGACCCGTACATACATACTTTTAATTAATTATATACCAGAGGAAAACTAAATGTAACTTTAATGAACCATAACACCTAACAACTGCAATTGACACAATATTACTATAACATGTTTTAATTCATTAATTATATATGAATAATTTTAACATATTTCATCTGCCCATTCAAATCAAAATCTTTTATTTCAAATATGAATTGCAATAATAAAATAAAACAATTTTGCTAATAGCACATTTTTTTCAATTCCAGTAAAATTTCATTGTGTACTGTAATATTAACTATAATAAGAAATATATATTGTACCACAAAGATACCCTCAAGCAATTATCCTATTAAAAAAAACATTTGTTTTCACTGCAGGATCTTACAATTGCAAAAATGTACTAAATTTCTATTTACATATTTTTATCGTTATAGTTGTAACTCTCGATTATATTTTCATTAAATTGAATTGATTTGAGGAATGTGCTTTAATAATTATGAACTGTAATTTTTCAACAAATTCTAAGTTTGTTAATTGCACAAATTTTTATTATCATTAATTATTTATTATTTATTGGTTGAATTTTTCAATGAAGTATGCAGAGAGAAGTATATCTCCCCTCTTATGCATACCATAACTATGTATTTCTATTAGCTGCCGTTGCAAGATAAGCAAGCGTCAGAGAACTTAGCACCATTACTAAGTTCTCTTATTCTCTCAGTTCTTAAATATTTAGTGTATTATCTATGTTCTCAGCATCCTTAAGCATAATCTAAAAAATGCATTCTTTAAAATGAGACATTGGTCAGTATTATTTGCAATTGTATTTAGTTCAAACTAGTGTCCATTCTTTTTGTACTAAAAGCTACGAAATAGTTATGTTTAGCACAATTAAGGTGTGGAATATTTGCAGTCTCAAACGTAGTGTGAAGATAACTATTTAAAATACATACTGTTCCAGTTGGACTTTCGAATATTCCCAATTTTCTATTTTCTATGGTAAAATAAAGCTCGCGCATGAACTTTTCTTGAATGGGATATGGATTAAAAGGAAATTGAAATACTGGCTCCATTATTTTGCTACTGTATGATTGAATGTATTTTATTTTAATGTGGTCGTAATTGTAACCCAATGCACAAAGTTTTCAAAATTTCAAATCCAACTTTTTAGTTCTTTTTCCAATTTTTTTAAAGAGTTTGTGCCCTGGTAATCATACATTTAAGCCACTCTTTATCTAACTATCCGTGAGCATACATACTAAAATATAACAATTTAGAATTTATGTTTAAGGGCATTAATAGCATCTAATAAGGCTAAAGGTAAATCCGTAAAGACGTGCCTAGGTTGTTAGCAGTGGTTGCTACGTGAAAAAGGTTGGAGGCAGCAACCACAAATAATTGATTACTTAACTTGTCGCGCTGCTGATTAAAGTAGCGTTCAGACGTCTCTTCCACAAAAGTTTAGAGATCAGATCATCGCGAATCCCATGTTTCCATACCACGGTGCTCTAACAGTTCACCTGCTTATGCGACATTGAATTTTTTAAAGTCTGCGTACGTATTTGGATCGCCTGTTGGTAACAACGTTAGTCGTGTGTGAGTACCATTACATCATCCCACCATTTATTTTCTGTGATAGTGCAGTAAATTCATTAAAGTAATTTATTAACTCCTTCCTTGTTTTACTGTATTCGTGTTGTCTTATACCTATGTAACTTTTATTACATAATTAGTAATATTACTACTAAAAGAAAACAATAGCATTGCTCTCCCATATTCATACATTTAATCTCTTAAAGCTGTAAAAGTAACATATGATATACAAGTATAACATTTAATCTTAGTACCAAATGTTATTTCGGGTTCGGTAATTATTTCGAACTACAACTCGACCAAGCTATGTTTGCACCTCGCTGGAATGCGGCACCCCGCCCGCTTCCCCGCTCACCTTCCCGCGATCACCCTGTTGCATCAGTATGGTTAGCATCTTTGTCGCCAACACGTGAGATACGAGTTTTCGCCTCCCTATCCGTTGTATTTTAAATTTTTTAATTGTTCTTGTTAGGTTTTTTGTTGAAGTTTAGTTATATTATTGAACTATTTTTGTTAAGTTTTTATTGAACTGTTGTTACTGAGCGGTTAACGTTCATTTTTTTTTACTTCGAGAGGGTTGTTGTTGGCAACAAAAATGAAAGCAAAGGTGATGCGCAGTGAAGGGAGAAACATAATCCTGAAAAAGAAACCTAAAGGAAAATTATTACTGAACAATTGGGATACAAATTTAAAAGGGTTGTTGTGGGCAACAAAAATGAAAGGAAAGGTGATACACAGTGAAGGGAGAAACATAATACTGAAAAAGAAACATAAAGGAAAATTATTACTGAACAATTGGGATACAAATTTAAAAAGTGCAAGAACGCCCGGGTAATCTTAATACAAATACCCGATATCGCTATATTTTAATGTACCTATGTATAATATATTGTTAAAAACAATAAATGCATATTTACATTTTTAGTCATAGCTTATCCTTTGTTCAGACCATACCTAAGCGACAATGTAACGTAATCGATGCGATGTGCAAACTTAGCTTGGTCGAGCTGTACATTATTTTCAGACTATAGACAACTTCTTGTTTTTTAAAGAATCTTTTACTTTTTTACTGGAGTTCAACCAAAGGATATTTAACATACAAGAAAGCTTGTACAAATTATGTTTTTTCGTGATTGAGTAGGTACTTGGGATGCCCTTAATTTATTTTTATTTCATAATTTAATATGTGCTAATAGATTTGTAACATGTTAGACTAATTACTTGCGAAACATGCGAATATTTACAAATATGAATGGAATGCAACCTAAAAATTCATTGAACCTTATTAGGTATTAAAAAAGAATAAATATATATTTTTACACTTCATGTATGTTTGTTCACAGAAATAATAAACTAAGGTTTTGGAGAAGGTTCTTGAGACTGTCTTGATGGTTGTCTTTTGTGGACATTTGGTTTTCGCAGTCTATGATAATTAGGCATCACTTTGCTTAAGAAATCAAGCTGCAATAACTGAGAGGGCTGTTTCTCTAAAGCTTCTCTAACATGATGCTCTGAGCCCCAGATCACTGTATTGTCTGCTAATATCTGGGGAGCTGTTAATGTACAGGCTGCTCCTGAAATCATTTCAAATATTAGTTAGTTAGTTATTAACACTTCTTGGGGTTGTCATTGTGGCCTGAAGTTTAACTTGCCCATTTTATTCATTTCAAGCAATATACATGTTCACAAATGACTTATACAATAAAGAAATAACACAGTGCAACAATGTTTTAGTTAAAACAGAAACATTTCTAAGTTTTTCAAATAACAGTTTTTTTTTTATTGCTTACATGGGTGGACGAGCTCACAGCCCACATGGTGTTAAGTGGTTTCTGGAGCCCATAGACATCTACAACGTAAATGCGCCACCCACCTTGGGATATAAGTTCTAAGGTCTCAAGTACAGTTAAAACAGCTGCCCTACCCTTCTAACCAAAACACATTACTGCTTCACGGCAGAAATAGGCGGGGTGGTGGTACCTACCTGTGCGGACTAACAAGAGGTCCTACCACCAGTAATTACGCAAATTATAATTTTGCGGGTTTAATTTTTATTACACGAGGCTTCGAGACAATTATTTGAGACTTCAATCTCATAGCTGATTTTTGCTATACATATTACTTATTGAATATTAATTTAATAAATAAATTTATTTAATATGTAAATTTAATTTATAATATGAAGATTACTAATAATATATACAAATATTAGTAAACATTCTTGATTATTTGCGAGGATAGCTATGATTTTATAATTTAATCTTAGTTTTATGGTTTTTTAACATGTTATTGGCTTACTTGTATCAATTTATCTACTTATAATACTATATTACATACTACATAACAGAAACATTACACATAATTTTCTGAACTTCAAAATGTTCCATGACCTTGAAAATGTTCACTTGTATCAAAGTTTTATGATATTAGAATAATTTTATTCCTGTGGCTCAATATCCTAATTTAAATTTTTTATTCATCTTCTTATTAAGGGCTATGTATTTTGCTTATTTTCGTACCTACTAAAACTAGCTTACCTATTACACAACCACTGCCAACTTTGACTTCTTCTCCAACAAAAGATCTGCATTCAAAAACATTACTTTCACCGACATGACCATAGATAGACTCCAGTTTGCAAGCAACTTCGAAAACATTGTGTGCACCTATAAATAATGGCTTTGGGGGATTCTCCTGTTTATCACTCTTTCTGAAAACAAAAATTAAAGAAGAATCAGTCATTAATATTTTAGTAGTGAATTAAGAAGAGTTTTGACCATCTTGTTAATTATAAGAATTAAACAATATGAAATTTTTCTAATTTACATCATATAAGGAATTAAAATTTGCAGTAACTTTCATATACATAAACATGATTCTTTTCGTTTTTCTTATTATATTCCTAATATTTATTCATTTCTAATCATATTAGAAATGAAACAATATTAATATTCAATTTTATTATTTTACAGAATAGGGATTACTAAATAATTTTAAGCAGGAATGCATATTAAATTGTACCATACACATATTTGTTTGGATTTCAAAATGTGTTTCTAAATATGTTTATCATGTTCACCGTCATGTTACAGTGTTCAGTAGAGATAGCAGATGATTACTTATTTTTATTTCTGATAATTAGACAATACTCAAGTTGAGCAATAGAATTCCAACATACTTATGTATTATAGTAGAATATTCTTCAATAATACAGTATTCAGCAATTATAATAGGTCCGCCTTCAGCTATAATGCTGACTCTCGGATGAATAACTGTACCTCCTCCTATGGTTATATCACCCTCTAAGGTACAGTCTTCGCAGACAGTTGCTCCGGGTAGAATTTTAATGCTGTAATGATATATACATTATTAAAGGTAATACACTGTCCAAGATACAAATTTAACTTAGTATATTGTTTGCTTACTTGTGAGCCATTTTCTTGAGACGTAAAGTTTAGTTTAAGATGATATTCAGAATTTTTTAACCTCCCAAAAATTCTGTTTTTCTTTGATAATTTTATGGCATCACCAGGCATCACAAACTTGGTGAAAAGGTTGAAAAAATTGATCAATTTCAATATTTTTTTTGAACTTAATTAGCGACTTTTTTTTATAGGGATTTTATGACCTGGTAACTAAGACCTTTAGGTCATGTCTTATTTTAATTTATATTCTTATTTTTATGAAAAATGATAACATGGAGTGAAATGAAATAAGATAAGATGATATGGGATGAAATATAGTCTCAGTAAAATGGTCGTTTATTGAGATTTTTTCAGTGGGCTTTTTTGAGGATCCCGATAAGTTACCGCCAGCGGCTTTGTTTCATTTTCCTACATTTGTGCACTTTCACAGATATTAGACAGTTAATAAACCACCGTTATTACACATTTAAACCTGAAGAAACACTAAATAGACAAAATAAAACAAATCACACAACTGTATTCCTCGCGTTTCCGCCAAAAAATCTACATAGCGTCACTACCTTGGGTATTTATAAATCATGTTTTTATATTTTAAATTTTCAGCTTGTTTTGTATTTTTCGTTTTGTATTTTGTCATCTTATGGTCATAATGTAGATTTGGATTTTACAAATGAAACCGTATGAATATGCAATTTAAATAAACTGTTTATTAATTGGTAACTATGAAATGTGTACCGAATAGTAAAAAAAAATCGTTAGATAAGAATACACTTTAAATATACACGTTTTACCAAACTATTACATTTATTTCGATGTAAAAAATGAAGAGCTATAACGCTTTCTACTATACAAACTCATTTTTTTCTACTAATTTTTACTAATCTTGACGATTTGTGAAACTTGGTAGCTCACTGCTTTGTTGACAAGAAAAAAATCGGTAAAAATATGGTATCCTCTTACTGGGAAAGTCATCGATTTCTTTAATTTTTGGAGATCTGTTTCTTTAGAAAATATTGGAGTTTATTTTATTTCGAGATTATTATATGTAGAATTTATATTTTAAATTATTGTGTTATACTTTACAATATTAAAAAATTAAAATTAATATTGTAGGACCATAAAAACAAGTTGCAACAACGTTATTGGTAGTTGTAAATTTACAATATTGTGAAGGCTGTGATAAGGTAGTATCGTTTTTGAAACATCAGTACCGCCTTAATATTTCTTAACTTTCATAGTAAATTCGTAAATTGTAGAACAGTTGTTGTGAGGTCGCCATGTTGTTATTTACCTTGTGATTTTATGCTGGGCATTTGTGATATGGGTAAAGTGTTGTGACGCGGCAACCAGTGTGTGAGCATGTTGGAGGATGTTCCCGTGCACGGAAGTCGGTCAGACTCCCGCAATGGAAAGAGTACTATCCACCAGAGAAACCTCAGCTTGGATTTCAGGTAGGCACCACTCAATTCGATTGTTTCTAAACAAAAAGGATTTTGCACGTATATTATTTTTATGCCAGTCTTTCTACTACTAGCCTAGTAGTCTAATTAAATGTTAATCAAATTATGTTATAATAACAATTAGTATGGAAAATACAGTACTAACAACATTTAGAAACTAAATGTAAGGATAATTTAACCTGAAAACAAAAAAGTAGGATCTAGCAGGAGATTGAGAAGTCATTTGGAATAAAGCAAAGACAATATATTTGCATAGACATTAGAAAATGTAATATGTACAGATAATTTATTTACCTTATCAATATTCTCATTTATTGATTAGTGTGTTGTTTAGATAGTTGATTTTGTCCAATGATTTTAAACTGTTTTTATTTTGCTATGCAAGCACACTCCTTACATTTATCTATATCCTTGGATAGGATATCCTAAAAGAATTATCTCATTGATAAAACATGCTCACTGTTATGAATTTTCTACTACATAGTTTAACTTTACATGACATCAACTTATAAAGGTAACAATCAATTAAAATTTCAATACAAATCACAAAGTAAACAATGTTATCATAAAATAATGGTCTAAAAAATAAATGTAAAAGAGCCACTTCTATTTTGGACGTGTAAACTTGAAATACTTTCAAATATCCTTGACATATTCTGGGTTTTGCTTATCTTATATAAGATAATTCAAATTCATAAATTTGTATACCAATTATCAGAGAAGTTTTAAATTGTTTTTATCTTGTTTCAATATAAGACATTAAAAATATAATATAAAGTGTTAAAAGTAATGATTTACAAAGTTTTGAATAAAACTTAGATAATTGAACCTTAATTAAGTTCATTGACCTTCTTACCAGGACACGCATTAGGTTTAAGGGAAAAGGTTCCTTGGTTCCTGTTGTAAATTGAAATCAATTATTTGTTTTCTACATTTCATGTAAAATTTACATTAACAGACTTAATGTCTAAGGCATTCTCTACTAGTCAACGAGAGGAAATTATGAATGTCTCATACAACTAGAAAATGTATATTGCTGCGTGAGAGTCAATCAGTCAGTATTAGATATATAAAAAATATTTTGAATACTAGTGTAGATATATGAAACTATAAACAAAATACACCAGTGGACACCACTAAAATATCAGTGGTCTACTACACCATAAAAAACAGTACAGTATGTATAAATAAAAATATGTCTCACCGGAACTATCATCCGCACCATCTGGATCGTTGGCGTTCCACTACAATGCGTTTTAAAAACAGTTTTCTGCCACGCACAGTAAATCTCTGGAATTCGTTGCCATCAGCGGTCTTCCCCAACAACTGCGACATTGGGTTATTCAAGAAAAGAGCATATTCTTATCTGAAGGGTAGGCAACGCACTGGCGTAAACGCTGGTGACCGTGGGCGGCGGTAAATCACTTACCATCAGGTGANTCGTTGGCGTTCCACTACAATGCGTTTTAAAAACAGTTTTCTGCCACGCACAGTAAATCTCTGGAATTCGTTGCCATCAGCGGTCTTCCCCAACAACTGCGACATTGGGTTATTCAAGAAAAGAGCATATTCTTATCTGAAGGGTAGGCAACGCACTGGCGTAAACGCTGGTGACCGTGGGCGGCGGTAAATCACTTACCATCAGGTGACCCGTCTTGCTCGTTTGCCTCTTAGTTGTTATAAAAAAAAAAAAAAGTCATTTTTTACCTAAATATAAACAGTAAATGTCTACAACAGTTTTTAGTATAGAGATGTTTAAAAGAAACAAAATCTCCAACAGTCTAGTGAGCAATCAAAATTAATTGTTCATTGAATAAGAAGTCCATTTTCTACTTATTCAAACGTAAGGTATGTTCTGCTCTAGTTAATTTTGTTCACCTGTTACGTTGATTCATTCGTGTTTTACCATGTACACAATGCTTACTTATTGCATATCTCTCATCTGGGTTATTGTGTAAGTTTTTGTGCAATGAAAATTATCTGCATACAAAAAAATATATTAAAAGTTAACATCTAATATCTGACTTACCACCTGAACAATTTAGGTAAAAAACAAGTTGATAAGGTTAAAGTAGCTACAACTCTCACTGTTCTTTTTTGCCAGGTTATCTTTGAAGCTGACTGTCAATGCAAAAGATCTAAGTAGTGCCTAGATTCTAGATTAAAGTAAAAAATTTTAATGTTCGTTGCAACCCAGAGACTACATAAATTATGAATTCTACCACCCGCATCATATCATAAAATAATTTTATTTGTTATTTGTACAATTATTTCAATTTTATCAAGGCTGATATCTTACAATATATAATGCTGCACTATATATTATATATGTCGCAGGCAATTTGTATGATTCCGCCGTTTACAAACGGCGTCGTCATTATAAAAACGCTCGCCGTTATGTAAAATGCCGAAGGCAAAATGTAAACTGCCGTGTCACTTTATAATATGCCACAACATAGCATCGACAATTCAAACGCCGTTTTCATAATGCCGCGGCAAATTGAAATGCTTAGTTCAATTTTTTNGTTTACAAACGGCGTCGTCATTATAAAAACGCTCGCCGTTATGTAAAATGCCGAAGGCAAAATGTAAACTGCCGTGTCACTTTATAATATGCCACAACATAGCATCGACAATTCAAACGCCGTTTTCATAATGCCGCGGCAAATTGAAATGCTTAGTTCAATTTTTTACCACGCGCGCCACTGTTGATCAAAATAATAACAATCACGTCAAAAAATAACTGAAAACAGTGCAAATATATCGTGTGGAGAAGACATTTTAGGAAATAATTCTGATTTTAAAGGTATATATTATAGTGAATTAAAAAATATATACAATTCTCAAATGGAAGCTGTAAAAAAGCCTTGGACAAATAGTAAGATTTTTGAGGTTATTCGGCACCTAAAAAATGCTAAGGTGGCCACAGAATCTGGTTCGCGGAGGACTCCTGCAGATTACTACTGGTCAAAACAATACGAGGTCATGAGCATCAGTGAATTGGACTACCTTATTTTAAAAAGGATAGCCCTGATCCAACCGTTCGTGTAATACCGTTGAACGAATATTCCGATGTATTGTTAGAGATTCATAGAGGTTGCGGACATGGTGATCAAGACAAAATTCAGTATCAAACGAAGGATAGATTTATTAGTGTGAGAAAAGCGATTGATTTATTCGTATCGTTATGTCCTGTTTGTGAATCCAAACGTAACATACCAAATAAAGGTATCGTAGTTAAACCGATTATGTCTCGAGATTTTAATGAGCAGAGTCAAGCCATGAATACTTCAAACTTCAAAATAATATGGTTTTACTTACGACCTGTTTGTTTTATTTGAAAGTGTCATATTATCCTTAGAAGTTTTATTATTGTCATGAGTATATACCTATAAAGTGTGTAATTTAAATGTTGTTTTGTTACTTAAATATTTTAACTAAGTACTTTAAGAGAACCAAAGCACATAATTTAGTCTTACTTGAAATCTTCATTAGTACCTCATTACGGAAATAAAGTCTGATTATTATAAACTGCATTTTATTATGGTCACCCTAAAACTACAACCAATGTCTAAATTATAACTATTGAACGAGTTATCATTTTGCCTTCGGCATTTTACATAACGGCGAGTGTTTTTATAATGACGACGCCGCGGCGCCGTTTGTAAACGGCGGAATCATACAAATTGCCTGCGACATATACATAACTCAACACTTATATCAAATTAATTATATTCAATCAATGTAATTATCGCACAAATTACATTTATATTATAATTACATTAAGACCAATTATAATTTTCAATTTTCAATTTGGAAAAAAGGGATGCATATCCGGCCCCTACTGTCAAGATAAATGTTATCAACTGAATAGTCTGCAATGAAACAAGCTGTTCAGCTGAGTATGAAAACCTCGCCATTTGCCGATAGTGCTGAACACTGAGTAACAAACGAATTTATTATCCAGCTCTATACATCATACTTTTTATGTGTTAGTTTTGTATTCAAACAAGCAACAAAAAATGTATGCACAATGTAATCGTTAATTTGTTCCGAGTCTGATATATTCTTAATATATGTACTGACATCATTTAAATATTGGCAAAGTAAACAAGCCAGGCGGTATGTAGGGCGCGCCAACTTCGGGCGGCCAACGTTCTGCTAAGCCAGGTGAATGGACGGGCCGAAAGTAAAAGTGGACTTGGTCTCACCGGCGCGGCGACGGAAAGCGGCTGTTGCGTTTTCTCAGCAAACTTACGATGCCACTTTTTCTATGAGATTGACGGAAACTAGCAAAACTTTTCATTTACATGTCAATTTGTTACATCTTATAAAATGTATTTTTTCTTTAACAATTAATCACAAACAATGTTACTTTTCTGTTATCATTTAACATTACTTCAAACTCCTTATCGCTTAACATAAAAATAGACAATGTAGAAAAACTAGGTACCTTTTATATTAAATACTGAGTGCTCTTTCCGTTCGTACATTACTGTAGTTTAGTTTGTATCGGTACATATGTATTGTGTCGACTGTTATCTATGCGACCCATACTGTTATTAATTCCGAGTTATAACGTGATTTCAGTTCACGTTATCTAACTTGACTAGTCTAGCATCGTAATAACATCGTACCTCCTAATTATAATATCTTCTGTGAACATAAAGCAATGTTTTGTTTTCGTTGTTGCTATTTATAGTTTCCCGCGTTCTTCGACCAACAAACATCAGAATATCCTGAATCGTACTTTGTACCACCACTTATCTGTCGCAATATTTTGTTATTGATAACAAAACAAAATATAAAGTACCAGTTTGATTATCACTAAAAATTCTTAAATTTCTTGGTTGGTGTTGTCTCATCGTTTTCATTTGAACCATCCAAACGTAATGAACCATATTAGTTTACCGATTTGGAAGTAAAATGATTTCGGGTAAAGAGGTATTTGGTTTAAGTGACATTTCGCTTATTAGGTACGCCACATTTAT